ACAGATGAGGAGCATTAGCATCTGGTCTGCTTATCCTGCAGTTGCAGCAGCAGAGTTTCACTACAGGGAGCTAGTTCTTGGTGTACACAAGGAGACAGGAGCTTCTCCTTGCTCAGCCTGTTCTAGGATCAGTGTGTAAGTTTTACTTCCAGCAGTGTTGTCTGTGGTAAATGCCTCCCCAAAGTCAGGTTGCCGCTGTTGACTGACTCCTAGTCCCTATTCCTGAGATTTCAATTAGCAAGAGCCTTTTACCAGATCCCCAAAGAAAGGCTGGCTGTGACAGAATTAAAAAGGATATTGCTTCTTATTGCAAACTTTCCTAGGAAGACAAAATTATACATGTAATCTTAGGCAGACTTGGACTTTTTCAGTGCTGTGATTCCTGTGGCTTAAAAGAAAAAAGAAAATAGATGCTTATTTTAAGTCTTTGATTTCAAGAAGGTGGAAATCCATACATTCATTAATTGCAAGGCAGCAGGAGAAGACAGAGCAGTAAGTAACACTGGTGTGAACACCTTCTGGTCACCTTGGAGCACAGGGTGCTTAGATAAGTCACATCTCTGCCAGAGGAAATGATCAGGAAGTTCCTTGCCCAAGCAGAGTTCTCGTCATATGAAGCTTACAATGCAGCCTTCTTCACAGACATGGAAATGCATAGTCATCTGAGTTTGCATAGGTAGAAGCATGTTAAAGAACATACTCAGCTTTAGGATCCAGGGTTAATATACAATGCACTGTGGGGTTGTTGCCTGCCCTCAGGTCTTTAACTTTTCTCACTGGCAATGCACTTCCCTGCTCCCACATGTCCATATGACAATCTACTGGATGGTTCTCTAGAAAAACACAGCCAGTGGCATTTTGAAAGAATTTTATTGATCTCTAGTGGAACATGAAAAAAAGCCAAAAACAACTAAAATACCACATAACAGATGCTGGAGAGGAGGAGGAAGATGAAGAGGAGGAGGGGAAGGAGGAGAAGGAAGGGGAGTACATAATATTGAGAAAATTGAGAGAAAGCACACAGGAGAGCACAAGCACTGTTTAGACATCCCAAGGCAGTGTCAGGGGGGCTGCGGGGAGATAGAGGGGTATATATGATAAAAAGTACGCAATATCCGTATTTGAAAATTTCAAAGATAAACTAAAAACATGTAAAAACAATCCTTTTAGTAAGTTTCTAGTGGCTATATCTAACCTTATATTGTGAAGATAAAATCAAAGTCTAAATGCAAGGAAAAAGTCAAGCTTGAGACAAAATCCTGCCTTCTTAACATACTGTTCTCAACATCATTAGTTTTTTTGTTTCTTTGTTATTGTTTTTCCTCTAAATGTCTGTGACATCCTCCTGGTCTCTGCTCGTATCAGCATATCAGCCATCTCTATGAGTAGCCACATGTTATTTTCTGACACAGTGGAGCAGCTTTCCAACATCAGGACCCAGCTGATGTTCTTTTAAGCAGAATGGAGACAAGGATCAAGTCATCCAGGTCCTATGACTTTATCATCCAAGATGAGTTCCGTGTGATGCAGAAGAGAGATCTTTCTTCATAGGAAAATCTCTCCATCTGCACGATTATCTGCCCAGTCTCTAATAGCAGGTAGACTGTTCACACAGTGTTTGTGCGAACAGGCATCATGACATTATAGCATCAGTTAAAAAATCTCAGTTTTAATGTTTTATATACTTTCTCTGAAAAATCAGAAAGCATCATTGGAAATGAAGGGATTTCTTGATTAAATAGCTTCCCTTTCTTTTTTAAAATTTTTGTTAGATTATAATATAATTATAACATTTCTCATTTCTACTTCCTTTCTCCAAACACTCCCATATACCCCTCTTTGCTCTCCTTAAAATATTTTGGCCTCCACTTTTCAATAATTGTTACTAAATATATATATATATATATATATATATATATATATATATATATGTGTGTGTGTGTGTGTGTGTGTGTGTGTGTGTGTGTGTGTGTGTGTGTGTGTGTTTGTATATTGCTAAATATAACCTGTCAAGTCTTACCTGTATATGTATTTTCAGGAGTGACCATTTGGCCTTCCTTAAAACAATGGTTCTTGCAACCCAGTATCAAATCTATGTCCACAGTCACCTTAAAACAATAAGCAGTCAAAAAGTAATATATACTATTTTGTAAATTATTCATTAAGCCTTTGATTTTCATGAAACAGGAGTATAACTCTAAGATGATATGGACACGAAGTTGAATAAACTGATCAATTAGATTGGAATAAAGAAAGCCCTTCCTCTTTCTGGTTTTCCTTAAACAGCAATATGAATGCCATTGTGTGCTTTCCAGGGTATAATCAGTAACAGAATAGTAACAGACACTTGTTAGCATCTAGTGATAGTGTTGTTTCTTAGGCACTAGCTAAATGTTTGCAGAAGTGACGTCATTTAAAATATGTGAAATTCTCAAACTATATTACTTTCTTCATCTATGAAAATTCAAAGTTAGCTTGGAAATGTAAATTTCTCAGTTTTGAACAATGAAGCCTGATGACCAAGACTTAAATACAGACCTAATTTGAACCTACCAAATCTAGACATCAAGACAGTTTTATATCCCTGATCTCAAAGTTTTTATCACTTTAATAAATATCCAAAAAGCTGATGAATTTTATAACAATGATCTAACTCAAATTTAAAAGCATCAGAATTTCTTTTGAACATCTGAGCTTTGCTTGAAATATAGTAAATATACTTTGAAACTGATTATTAAAATTTAACAAGTTTACAACTTTGAACCTATAACCCCTTATCTACTGATTTCATGTATGATGGTTGATGATTTGTCAAAGGGAGTACTAAGATATGATATCACCCATGCATTTGAAGAATCAATATTTACCTGCTTCCACATTCTCTCAGACCTACACTGACTAATAAATTTTGGCCTACATTTTAGGAGAGAGTTTTTCTCTTTTTAATGAGAAAAGAGGATAAGAAAATAAATAAACAAATTGCAAAAGAGATCTATACTTCTACAAATGTCTTTGAAAAATTCAGTCTTAAGTGCCACTGTATATTTTAAAGTCTTCTTATTGGTAACCAAATACTGTAAAGACAAGTGTAAAGTGGATTCATAGAGCTGTCAAGGACACTTTATGTTCAATGGAAAAGCACACAAAATAATGACTTTATGCCTTAAAACCATGCTTTTAAAAATATTTATTTTCTTTTTATGAGTATGAAGGTTGTGTCCATGTGTAAGTTTGTGTATCACATGTGCACTCTTTCCTCAGAGGCAAGAGAGGGCATCAGATTCCCTGGACCTAGTGTTATAGATGTTTTTAAGCCACCACATGACAGATCCTGTGCAAGACCAGTAAGCGCTTTTAACCATTGAATCCTCTCTCTAGCCTTTAAAACTATATTTTGTGAATTCCACATTGTAACATCTTTTCTAGTGATTTATAGGCCATTATTTATAACACAGACTTAACAATGAATAATTGTATTTTTAACACTTCCTAACAAGTCAGCATGAATCAGGAAAGACAAAAAAAATCATTCTGTTTGTATTTGTGAGAAAGAAGAACAAAACTGTTCTTATATGTGTCAAGATAGCAATTTATACTGTGTAAATTACTGAAACGATTAATGACTATTTTTCAGAGTTTTGTGTAGAATTTTGATTAAGTATGGAAGCAGTGCCAATATTTTCGTTTTGGGGAAGTGCTACCGTAATTACAAACAGGATACAATTTTAATAACACAGCTTTCCCTCAGAATTTCTCTGTGCAATCTTCCTTTTGATATTCTGACACATTGGTTATGAACAAGTCTAGATTGATTTAATTGAAAGTGCATGTTATGTTCAAATGAAGGTTTATCCTCCTTTTTGTCTCAGGGGTTGCTCTAAGGACTAGTCCAGCTTTCCTTCATTCTCTGCATTGAATTTACTGCTCTCCAGTTTAATATTCACTAGCTATCATTTGCTTCTACATTAGCAATGTTTATGACAAATTTGCCCTAGGTATTAGAGTTGGAGAAAAAAAAGACAAAAGTTGTAGATGAATAGTGCTTATACTATACAAAATGGTTGTTCACTTGGAATCCCTTTTGAAGTCAGGGAACTAGAAAGATTCCATTGAGGGTGAATTTTAAGTAGGAGAGATACTAGAACACAGAGGCATGAAGAGGGAAGAGAAATAATGTGGGAGAGACAAGTCAGAAGGGGAATGGTAGGAAGGGGAGAGGAAGGGGGAAGGGGGAACTAAGACACACATACAGCAACACATAACACACACATACATACACATACATATATATTAGATGTTTTAAATGGACTTATCCTACATGGGCAATAATGCTTTTCCCAAAGGCCATAGGTTGCCAACATCAAGCCTAGTGCCAGACACAAGATAACTTTCCTTGAGTTGCTTGAGAAGATTCCAGAGACCCATAAAATAATTCAGCCTGGCATTGGTCTTTGTTAGCAAGGACAACTGATGTTAAGATCCTATTCCTGAAAACTCACTTTGGTCATAGGGCTTAAAATGAATCAAGCTGGCACAGTCCCAGAAGCTTCTTTCCTACTAACTAGTTTTCATAGTACTAAAAGGTCTTATGTAGACTGATATTGGAGAAAGATATTTAACAATATTTCTCAGCTGTGGCTGCTCTGAGCCACAATAATGATTCAACTGGTAAGATATGTGCATAGATGAGGTAGTGGCATAATTGTTACAGAGGTATCCAACCATTCTATGATTAGATTTAAGGCTGATCTATAGGTGGGAAGTCATGGCTGGTACTGTAGATTTGGATAAACGCCCATTGTTTGAAAGCTCATAGGTTCTAGGGACAAAACTACTACTATTATTTTGCTAAATTACCTTAGTATCAAAATGTTTTTCAACTAGATATCTGTAGCATGAATCCTAACCAAGTTTCCCAGCTCTCCTCTCAGAGTTTCTGAGTCTTGTGAGAGGGGCTGTTTGTGTGCTCGGCAATGGCAGCCATTTTGTGTGAGGAAAAGATGTTAGAGCAAGAAGGGAATGGCTTGTTTGAAATATCAGATTATGAGCATGTAGAAGATGACACTTTTTCTCCCTTCCCACCTCCAGCCTCTCCTGAGAGAGATCCTGCAGAAGCTGAACCTGATGAAGAATTAGGGAGTGGAGCACCTGTTCCTGTACCACCAAAGAGAACAGATAAAAAGAATCTACCCAAGCTAGATTCCACTAGATTAGCTTCAGAGAGAGGGCTTTCAGCCTTAAGACATGTGTTTGATAAGACAAAATTCAAGGGGAAAGGTCTTTTAGCTGAAGACTTGAAAACACTAACCAGACACATGGAGCACTGGGCACATAGGCTATTCCCCAAACTACATTTTGAAGATTTTATTGACGGAGTTGAATACCTAGGAAGTAAAAACGAGGTTCAGATCGGTTTGAAACAAACTCGGCTTGATCTCCCTATTGTACATGAAGATTATATTAGCAATCATGATGAAGCTGAAGAAACTGATACCCTTGATGCAACTGCTGCTAAATTTGATCCCTTTTTTTTTTACAATGGGAGCTATATAATGTCAATTAAAAATATTATCTGTTTGATCATTTTTGTTTTGTCATTAAAAAAATTGGCTAATATGAGTGCCAAGATAAAAGTTTTAGAAAAACTTATTAAAACAGATCACATTCAGACCCAGACAGGGGAATTTAAAGGAGAACCAATCTCAGCATGGCATTATAAGGCTACAGAGGAACATCCTAAGGTTTTCAAATAGCCAACTTTAATTTATCCTGTAAGCTTATAGCAACTGCCAAGTGATAGATAAAATCCTAAAGGCTGTGGAAGAGCTGAATGGGCTCCTGTGCAAATGTTAGATTTGAGGCAATTAAAGGAAATGATAGTCTCATGTGGCATGCATTCACCTTTTGTGAAGCAGATATTAAACTCATGATCAACTTGTAATAAGATTATCATCAAGACTGGGGAGACTTGGTTACAGGAGTATTGGAGCCTGGTCCTCAATTACAGTAGAGTACCTGGTGGAAGGAGGAGGCTAAGACCATTGAACAACAAAGTAGGGCTAGAGGTATTGAAATCTCCCAAAACAAACTTCTTGGAGAGGGAGATTATGCTAATGTACAAAGGTAATCTCTATATAATGATCACACCCTGGCTTTATGCTGTGTAGCAGCCTTGAATGCTTGGGACAGAATTAAAAAAAGAAGGAAAGAAAATTGAGCCATTTACTAAAGTTATGCAGGGACCAAAAGAAACCTTCACTGATTTCTTACAAAGATTAACTTCAGCAGTAAATAGAATGATACCATATTCAGAAGCTAGACAAATAATAATTGAATCTCTCACTTTTGAAAATGCTAATGCACAATGCAAAAGGGTAATTAGGCCATTAAAAGCAAGATCACACACCCTTAGAAGAATGGATCCAAGAAATAATCAATATTGAATCTCCTAACCATGATGATGCTTGGATAGGAGAGGTGATTTCCAGAGGTTTGAAGAAAAATTGAAGTGTTGGATGTTTCAATTGTGATAAACAGTGTCACCTAAAAAGAGATTATAAACAATGCTTTCCTAGAAACAATGTTTTTTCTAAGAATAATTCCAACAGAACACATCTCCTTTCTGAAGTAGATAGAAGGTATGGCAAAGGCAGACATTGGACTAATGAATGTGGATCAACAAGGGACAAACAAGGTAACATTTTACCACTGGGAAACATCTTGAGGGGCCTCTTACAGGCCTCCATGTCAAATTTAGTTCAGTTGTTTTCTGTCATGGAGGAAACTCCTTCCCAAGGCAAACTAAAGAACATAATACCTATTGTAAGAAACCATTCTGCTCTGGATGATAGAATAGCTATAGAAGAAAAGAACAAAGATTTCAGGGGAAACCATGAAGCAAATATTATAAAGGTTAGATCTGAACAAGAGAGACCTCTTGATTAGAAAAGATGATAGTTCATCAAACAGCATGGCTGTTCAATCTAAACTAACCTATAAAACTAACAAACGCATTTCATTTGATCAGATATAACTTCCTGAAGAAAAAATATAAATTATCCAGAAAAAAAAATCTCAAAAAAACAGTAAATTGGCCTATGGTTATGTTACATTTTCAACAGGATACAACTTCATAAATCTTCCTAAATGTTTATTTCTGCTATTCTCTACAGACACCCAAAGCAAATTTTTTTTTTGTAGTTCCAGTCCATTTAAAAATTAAAGCTGGATTTACAGTTGGAGTGTGGCTCTCTCCCTCTCTAAAAACAAGCATGCTTGTTAAAGTAAAATGCAAAATTTCTGTATCATGTCAGAAGAGCCACTTGATATGGAACAGAAAAAAAATCAAAAATTAAGGGACTATTATATAGCCACTAATTTCATAATCCTTTGCTTTTATTTTAACTCTTTAGAGCTTTTCTTAAAGAGAAATATTATCCCAAAACTTTATATATATTGAACTTTTTGTCATTATATTAATGGTTATATAGGTACTAACTAATTCTAAAAAGGGCTTTATCTAGCTTCCTGTACATGATTTTAGGTTTGAGTCTCTATCAGGTAACTAGAAATTAACTTTTTGTACTCTGGATGTACCTCTTTAACCTCTTTGAGATCTGATGCATATGACATTTAAAATGTTTAAGTTTTCTGCTATGAATCAAGACCATGCCTAACAGTGATCTTTGAAGTCTCCAACAGGATGATGGGGCCCCCACAATGATGATTCCACATGGACTATGATAACACCACTAAGCTGACAAACACCATCTAAAGATTGGCTTTACACTACAAACTGCTCAGGACAATCTTGAGGTGGCTAGTTGAAATGATCCAACCTCAGAGACTATTCTAGCCAGGACTTGAGACAAGCCCTGCACTTTCCTACATTGCAAAGTCTGGACAACAAATGATACAGCTACCTCTCCCAGGACTTGCCAATTAACCCAAATTTTTCTTTTCAGGATCCCCTAAAGATGCCATTGCCCCCAGACAGCAGAAAGTAAACTTAAGAACACAATGCCCACATTCCTAAGATGTAGGATAGGTAGTTTTTGGTCTTTCAATGGGTTATTGGATATTTGTCTTCATTTAAGGTGATTGGTTACAAATTTTTATTGGTAATAGTCAGGAAAAAAGCTGAAAAAAAGGAGTTTTGATTCAGGGTTCTTGTTTGAAAAGAAAAAAAGGGGATATAGATAAGATAGGATAAAAGGCTAGATTACTGAATCTACTTTTAAAAGCAACTACTAGTTTTAAATATTTTACGTTGATATGGATCTTTGTATATGATATAAAGTTGAGATTATTTTTATTAGAATATACTTCACACACATTTCTAATCTTGTTCAAAGTATTGTGCCCATACAACTCATTTAACAAAGTTATGTGAATTTCTAGTTCTTGAAAGTTATTATTATCGAGTACTTAGGATAATAAGGAAATGCAGGTTAGTAATTAGTCACTTATTACAACTAAACTTGCAGTCATATTAGGTATGTTATCAAGGACAAATAAAGATATATTTTAGATAGGCAGGTCATCTTCAAATACTTCAGAGATCTACAGAATATGGCATTTAAGATGTTTTAGTATCATAAGTTCTTTTTTTTATGACAATGAGATGTGTATGCTCCTGGCAACACCAATCAACTTCAGAGAAGATGATGGGCATCAAAGAAACTCCTTATGGAGTTTACTTTTGTTGTGGCAAAAGTTAGACACTGGGCAAGAAAATGCCCTTGCCTTGACTGCTGACAGTATGCTGTCCAAATGAACAAGCAAGACACAAAAGAAAGAACTGCCAAACTTTGCCAAAACAAGGTAGAACAGCCCTTCAGAATACCTGCTTCACAAAAATGTCAGGTATGCTAGGCCTGTGGGCTGAAGATGGGTGCTCCAACATTACAGAGGAACCTTGGGTGACTGTCCAGGAAGCCAGCTGTTTCTGTCATTTCCCACACTTTTTTGGAAGTCATTTGCTTGTATTTCTTGCTTACTCAGGTAATACTATTTCCTTCTCAGGTCTGTGATGGAGTTGAAGACTTTGCAGTTATATTTATAGTTTTCTTTGTTACCAGATTCAGAAAAGAAATTCACTAAAGAGGTGCAAAATGTATAAGATTGAGAGACATTAAACACTGTTTTGGTAATGCAAGTTAGAATAAAAAGTAAATTAGGTACAAGACTTTGGACTCACCAAGATAGGATAGAAAATGGAGTATTTTCTCTGAATTTGTCTCATGCAGGTGGATTAAAGATTGTTGATATATTTATTGCCTGTATAGGTTATATATAGCTACTGTATTATTGTATATAGTTTCTCTTATATTAGTTATAACCTTTTTTATTTTAGACAAAAAAAGGGATATGTGGTGATATTTTGTTTCTACTTTAACAAATAAGTCTTACCTGAAGATCAGAGTGTGGAGCTAGCCATTAGTGGCCATCATAGACATGCATGCTCATGGTGCAGACATATAAACCAGCAAAATACCCATACACATAAAATGAAAATAAATGAATCCTTTAAAAAGAGAAATGGCAGTTGAAAAGTCTCAAAAGAGTAAACATAATGTTGTAAGAGCAAAAATCAAAGCAAAGCATGGAGCTGAGAAAGAAGAGCAACTGGAGGTTTAAGAGATATTTGCCTCATATAGAGAGTAGGAGAAAGAACAGAGGGAAGTGTATTTGGTTGTAGATGGCCTTGGATGCCAGGCAGAATAATTTCATTACCAAGTAATGAAGAATCCACTGCTAGTATTTTGAACAGAAAAATAACAGGAGCAGAGCATGTATCACGAAGCTCACCATGGCAACAGTATGATAGAAGAGATAATGCATTCAAAAAGCAGCTTTGAGTGCTATTGTAAGAGCTTAAGAGAGAAGTCAGAGAAAACTGTGTAGGTAGAGGAGGTAGATTTTGGAAACTATGTGGGTGGATAGTTGTAAGGAAAATGCAGATAAATTAGAGTAAGGACTCCTATGTAAAGAGAAGATACATTATAACAGCTGCCTACATTGACCGGTATCCTCTAGTAATGATATCGCTATGGTGCAGACACATCTGCAACTTCCTTACATGTGCTGATAATTATAGTAAACTCCATGCAACAAACTGGTGATAGACTGGTCAACCAGTGAGTGTGCTAGCTGAAAAAATATAAAGATACTATATGGCATCAAAAAACAAATCTGTGCCTCTAGACAGATGTGCTAAAGGTTTTAATTGTGTGAACAGGCTTAGAGTTAAGGGTACTAGTATTTGTATACCCTATGCATTATGTTTTGTAAGAAGATTGGCAGTGAGGACTATTGCTTTACCCAAGCTGTAAACTCTTAAATTGAAAAGAAAGTGTATGCTGAACTATATATCCTCATCTTATTGCCAGAAATTATAGTCTCCTTAGAACAGTGATTCTCAACCTTCCTAATACTCTGACCCTTTAATATAAATTCTCATGTTGTGGTGGCCCCAATCATAAAATTATTTTCGTTGATACTTCATAACTGTAATTTTGCTACTCTTATGAATCATAATGTGAATATCTGATATGCAGAATATCTGATATGTGACCCCTGTGAAAAGTTTGCTTGACCCCCAAAGGGGTTGCAACCCTCAGATTGAGAACTGCTGCCTTAGCAAAACCTATGATCTCACTCAGCTGTCTCAAAGGAGAGACATATTTCGGCCAAAAGTATCCAGAGGCCTCCTGATAGTTCTGATTGGCTGTCACAACCATGGTCTTGACATGCCAAGGGCATCTTCTAAAACACTACAGTGACTTGGAAACAATTGGTAGCATGCAGCACCTTAGAGAACTCTTCTCAAGACAAAAATGAATGCCCACACCTCCTGCTCTGTTATGTGCACATTCCTAGTTTAGGCAGACAGATGTACATACAGCCCAGAGCTTCACCTGTCAATAAACAACAGCAGCACATCACTGCTTAATGTGCATCATTACAGGTTCCAAAAAGTGTTAGGCCTGAGCAACTCAACACAGGCTGAAAAATGTCTCAGAGAGCACTCAGAGAATACCTGGAAACTATTTTTCTTTTTTTCTTGGCAGTGTTGGGAACTGAACTCATGGCCTTGCCAGACAAGCACTGTAGTGCGGACAAGCAATGTTCCACTGAGCCGTCTCCCTGCCCCAGAACAGACAGTTGCTTTTACGGCACTAATTCTCAAGTAGGTTATGTGTTTGTGAATCAAAGATTTGATGTCTCCCGAGGAGGGGCAACATGCCTATAGAAATTTGTAGATAGGAAGGTGCTGTGGGATGTTCTGTATGGCAAATGTGTTGCTGATTAGTCAATAAATAAAACACTGATTGGCCATTGGCTAGGCAGGAAGTGTAGGCGGGACAAGCAGGAGAATAAAGCTGGGAAGTGGAAGGCTGAGTCAGAGAGACACTGCCAGCTACCACGATGAGAAACAGCATATGAAGATGCTGGTAAGCCACAAGCCATGTGGCAAGATATAGATTAATGGAAATGCATTAATTTAAGCTATAAGAACAGTTAGCAAGAAGCCTGCCATGGCCATACAGTTTGTAAGCAATATAAGTCTCTGTGTTTACTTGGTTGGGTCTGAGCTGCTGTGGGACTGGCGGGTGAGAGAGATTTGTCCTGACTGTGGCCAGGCAGGAAAACTCTAGCTACAGGAAGGGAGCTGGAGAAGACTGTGGTCTACAGGACCAGCTCTGTGTGAACACAGCTAGAGTGGGTCAGGAGACCCAGAGGCTCTGTAAGATGCCTCCGCTGAAATCCTATGTTCTAGCGATCCACCTTGGAGTTCCAAATCCAGAGAAATCTTCCACCTCTGGGTCAGCATCCAGGCACATGGGTTTGGAAGTGACTTGGATACTCAAAAGCACTAGGCAGTCAGTCAGTCAGAAGAGACAATGGAAAACTCATGGGGAGACTTCTACTGGAGAGGTTACCATCTCAGAACCAGCCACCAGAGAGTCTCTAGCCTTTTACAAGGCCTTTAATTACAAAGACATGATTGTCATTCTAAAATAGTAGGTAGAAGCAAACAAAAATTAACATTTTGATGCAGCAATAGTTGAATTTTATGGTAGTTGAACCACTACTTCCCAGGTGAGAGTGCCCATAGTGATAAGAATTCTAAGTAAAGATCAAAGCAACCCTGAGTTCTGGTTTGATTTTTTTTCCACTCACTACATAAATGACAGTAATCGGCCAGTCCAATTTCTAAGCTCGAAATTAGTACAAAAACATAGAAACAGAATCAGAAAAGACCCCTGAGCAAAGTTTATTTCATCAGAACAGGGAGCCTCTTTTAGAGGAATGTTGCCAGTCCATAAACAGCTGCTGAGACTCTACATTTTTCCTGGCGAAGGTACTACAGATGCCAAACCCTGGTTCTCTTGGCTTGAATCTTTGTCTTGAAAGAATTGGACAACAGAATTTTCTTTTAGTTTTTCTAACTTCAAAATGAAGATATAAGAGTGATACCACCTTTTTTGTTTGTTTGTTTGTGGGGTTTTTTTTGTTTGTTTTTTGAGACAGGGTTTCTCTGTGTAGCTTTGCACCTTTCCTTGAACTCGCTTTGTAGACCAGGCTGGCCTCGAAATCATAGAGATCCGCCTGCCTCTGCCTCTCAAGTGCTGGGATTAAAGGCTTGTGCTACCACCACCCAGCCTATTTTTTTTTTATGATGGTAAGAGCTAACTAGAAAAATGTAAACGATTCTGAAGTTCATAGAATAAAAACTGTTACATAAATATGATTTACAGAAGTTACTCTTATGGATAAGCTCTGTGCTAGAAGATTCTTGTTGCCCTCAGTTTCCATTTTTTCCTCTGTGAACTGATGCTAAACTGTCAGTGATCAACTTTGAAGCCAGGTTCAAGTCCTGGGGATGGGAATCGATAGTGACAGCAGCTAATTGTGATGCTTGGACATGGGGAATCTTAATTGAAATAAATCAATGTAGTGCAGGAATGAGTTATACACCCAACCATAAAGTCTTAAAACAGAAAATAACAAGGGGCAAATTGCACTTTAAAACTTTCGATTTAGTCATAGGGCAACAGAGAACAGGGTGTTTTATTATAGAAAATAGCCAAGCAACTCCTAGACAGAAAGGCAACTATGTTTCAGGAGTCACTGACTTGTCAAAAGCACTTAGCTGACATTAAGCCCAATTAGCAACTCTGCAGCCACTTTAGCCAAAAGGAAATAAAAAGACGCCATTGAAGTCTGAGGGTGTAGGAGTAAAGAAAGAAAACCAGCTTTCAGGCCAACTGCTGGTAATGAAAAAATTCAGTGTTGCTTTTCAGTCCTTTACTTTTGTATTGATTGTCTGGCCTTTCACTGTGCCCTTAGTTCACAGAGCAACTTGGAGCTCTTACAGCCCCAAATGCTCTACAGATTGTAACAAAATAGCAATTGCTCTTGATTCTAAGAGCATAGCCGAAATGAAAGATAACTTTGCTTATGGGTTTGTATACTGCAAAGAAAGTTTCAATAAAGAAAATCTTTGGACAGGATATCGCAAAAAGGAATGATCAAATTTATTTCAAATTTTGAATATCAGCACTTGCTTATTCAGCTTTCTACCTCCTGTCATTTGGGTTTCTGCTGAAGGTGGTGGCATTGAGATCAGCAGTCAATGCATTCATTAAGAATTACAAGCAACTTTGATTAATACTCCTTGTCTAATTCCCTGAAAAATGTGCTATATCTTGGAGCTTAATGAAGACAAGCCTGAGTTATTTAGGTGTTTGTTAGTGAGGCTTATTTGCATATAATTAACTAGATTCTCTGTTTATAGCAAGCTGTAAAAACTTTTGGTAGGTATACCTCCACCCAACTTCATGCATTAACAAAATGCTTTTGTTCCTCTCCCAAACCCTTGATGGGAAGAATTAATGTTTCTGTCTGTCTATTACAAAACAGAGACTCACATACAAAGCTAGTTGAAAGGTTTATTGAGAGAAAGTTTCATATTACACTACTCTTAACAACTAATAAACTTTATTTTAAAAAACTTTTAGCATCACAGCAAAATTCCACTGAAAATACAGTTTTTATGTATCCACTTTTCTCCAAAAGCATGACTTCCTCCACCATCAGCATCCCACATCCATGTATTTGCTATAACAGATGAACTTAAATTGACACATCTTTATCATACAGTTTGTAATTCACACTGTATACCTAATAGAATTTGACAAAAATAAAATGATGCATGTGTTCTTCTGTAATAGCCTACACAATAGGTTCAGTCTCTTAAAATCCCTCTGTTCTCCAACTTTCTCCCCACTGGCCCCTGAGGACATTAATGTTCTTACATCTCTATAGTTTACTTTTTCAGGATTCTTGTAGTTAGTTGCACTTATACAGTGAGTCGCTACTGAAAATAATTAACTCTTTTACTTAGGAATACGAATTGGAGTGTTGGGAATGATGTTTTATAACTTGATACCTTATTACTTTTTTGTTTGCATTGAATGGAATTCTGTTGTTGGAAAGAACCAAAGTTTGTTATGTGCTGGAGGACTTATTGAAGAAACACTCAATTATTTCCAAGCTCCAGCAATTATTTAAACTGTTGTGAATAGCTATGTGCAAGAACATTTTGTAGACCAAAGTTTTTAATTCATTATGTAAATATAAATGAACAGGTTTTGGAATTGCATAATAAGAGCATGCTCGGTTTTTTAGGAACTATCAAAGTACCTGCCAAAGTGATTGTACCGTTTTGCATACTCACCAGCAATAAATGACATTTCTAGTCGTTCCACAGTTGTGGAAGCATTTGGTGGTGTAACTATTTTGAACTGTAGCCAATATAATAACTTTTTGGGATATCTCATTATTTTCTTCACAAAATGCTAGTGAGGTAAGAGTGGTGACTATCTTTTCATATTCTCATTTATCCCCCAAAGAAGATACACATGTATCAGAGTGGTATTAAGGTCATTTTTTAATATTTTTTTCCCTCTAAAAATAAAGTTATTGCATTATTTTATGTTCCAAGGGAAGAATTTGCCCAAATTGTCAATTGTGTTTTATGTTGTATTACTGCCGTGTTTTAAGAGTTCTTTTCTTGGTTTGGAAAACAGTCCTTCATCAGATGTGTCTTTTGCAAACACTTTTTTTCCAATCTGTGCCTCCCTTCTCATTCTTTTTATATTGTCTGAGGCAAAAGTTTTTAATTTTCTAAAATTTCAGCTTCATATTAATTCTTCCATTTATCCTGTCTTTGGCATGTGTTTTAAAAGTATTTACCATACCAAAGAACATCCCAGTTTTCTCCCACTGTCTTACTGAAGTTGTGAATTTTTAAAAAAAGGTTATGCTTGTGTTTCTGGTCCAATTTTGAGTTATGCTTTTCTTGGTTTGTTTGTTTTGAGGTAATATGCTATGTACCACAGGCTGGCCTCTCACTTACTGAGTAGTAGAGGATGATATTGAACTTCTGGCCATCTTAGTTCCACTGTGAGTTCTGGTACTACTCATATGTGCCCCTATGCCCAGTTTATGTGGTGCTGGAATCAAATCAGGATTTTGTACATGGTAGTTAGGTGCTCTACTAACTGAGCTACATCTTCAGCTTGAATTAAGTTTTTGAAAGTTACAGGTCTGTGTGTCATCATTTTTCTTTATATGCATGCAGTTGGTCTAGCACCATTTGTTGAACAGATTATTTTGCTACTTTTTTTTGTCATTTTGGGAGCAGTTCATCAAATGTGTTTATCTGTTGCTGGATACTCTATTCCTCCATTGACTTGCTAGGCTGGACTTTTGCTAATTCTCACAATTACTGTAGCTTTGTAGCAGGACTTGGAGTCAAGTTGTGTCTGGTCTCCCTGCTTGTCATTCCCTTTGAATATTTATTTGGCTATTCTAGTTCTATCGTCTAACTATGAAACAACTTGCTGAGAATTTCGTTGAGACTGTGTTCATCCTACAAATAAACCTACAAATAATGGGCATTATGATAAGATTAAATCATCCAAAGAATGAATGTAAATCTCAATTTATTTTGCTCTTCCACATCTTTCCTTAGAATTTTATGAATTTCTTCATATAGACCATGTGCTTTTTATTTTAGCTTGATACAAAAACATTTATAATTTGGGGTGCTAATACAATTAATAGTGACAATCATGAGCTTTTAACTTCAAATTTGACTTGTTCATTGATGATACGTAGACAA